GGTATATAAGTCTTTTCAAAATCATCAGCAATTGTGTATACGAACTATTGGCTATAAGACTTATTCTCATACGTAAAGGTATATAAATCTATTTACTCTTGGTTAATTTTCATGAAATAAACCGCAAAAATCTGCATCTGTAACGCATAATATATTAATTCACTATACTATATATTCAAATAATTGTTTTATAACAGGAAAATATATTTTCAACATAACATAATCCATAATAATTATCTTATTTTAGAAAATATTAAATTATTAATATAAATTCGTTTTAGTTATATTTAAATATTAAATTATTAATATAAATTCCTTTTAGATAAATATAATAGTGTATATATCTTAATTTAAAATTTAAGTTTTATATATAAAAATATATTTTAAGATAACAACATAATTCACAAGAATTATCTTATTGACTAAAAATATGATATATTCATATAATTTTGTTTTATTTATATATAAAATATATATAAATATTAAAATATGATAAATAAACAAAATTACCTAAACTTATGGAGAATATGACAACTAAGCAAATTTACTTCTTAAATAATAGTATAGATCTCACTATTTAAAAAAAAACAATATTATTCAAATACACATCACTATATTTTAATATGATAATTTCACTAACTTTTATTTTTATTTATATTAACTATTTTCGTTACATAAATATATATATATATATATAAATTTATGAAATATTAATGTTATCTCCAGATGTAATCAGCCATGTCAAACAATCTTCTAGAATTGATATTGATACATTGAGATTCAAGATATATAGGTTTCCGATTGATTACCACCAAATCGTCCATTATATACAAACTAAGTTTTACAAATATAACATTATTTATAAATTATGTATACAATAAATATTTTTAATCATTGTCTACTACGTACGTAATTAACAGTTCCGATGATGAGGTCGAGGATGTTAACTCTTAGCATCCGGAAAGCATGACAATTATTCCAATTAACAATTTATCTCATGTTTTACAGTGACATTTCCCGTCCAACC